AGCGAGTGTAGCTCTGCTGAGCCTGTAAGTATGTTGAAGGTTCTTCCTACCAAGGTGCAGCACCGTACACTTCTCTACTTTGAAGGCCATCAGGTTTTGGTCAGCCCACCTTGAGCGTGTGTCCAAGTTGGCCTGTATCCCCAGCCTGTCCTGCTGTGTGGCTGCCCTCTCCCCATAATTTGGTGTCATTCACAAACTTTGCCAGTTTGCATCTGACTCCCGAATCCAGATCGTTAATGAAGATGTTAAAGAGTACCGAGCCCTGAGGGATTCCACTGGTCACCCTGTGCCATGTTGATTTGCTCCTATCAACTAATACTCTTTGGGTCCAACCCCATAGGCAGTTACCTAATCGTTGGACTGTAAGATGATCAAGGCCACAGTTCCCCAGCTTAACCATGAGGACATCATGGGGAACTAAGCCAAAGGCTTTCTTGAAATCCAGATATATGACATGTCATCTCCCTTGCCCAGAGCACGTGTTACCTGGTCATAGAAGGAGATGAGGTTGGTCAGGCAAGATCTGCCAGTCACAAAGCCATGTTGGCTGGCATTCAGATGCTTGCCTTCCGTTAGTCTGGTGTTGATGCATCCCTTGACAATTTCTCCAGGATTTTTTCCAGGGATGGGTATCAGACTGATTGGTCTATAATTCCCTGGGTCATCCCTCCTTCCTTTCTTGAAGATAGGGATCGCGTTGGCTCTTTTCCAGTCTTCCGGGACCTCGCCCAAGTGCCACGAGTTTTCAAATATTTTTCCCAAGGGGGGATGCAATGATGTCTGCCAGCTCCTTTGAGACTCTTGGGTGTATTCCATCTGGGCCCACGGGCTTGTGAATGTCCAGATTCTCAAAGTATTCCCTCACCTGATCCATATCAATTTTGGGTCTGCCACCTGCTCCCAGGCTGATTCGTGTCCTTTCTGACAGTGTGATCCCCTTGGGAGGGTGAAAAACCGATGTGAAAAAGTCATTAAGGAGATTGGCCCTTGGGTGTCAGATGTCAGTTGCCCTGTTAGATCTTGCAGGGGCCCAATGTTATCTTCGTTCTTTTTTCAACTTCCCACGTATCTGAAGAAGGACTTTTTGTTGTCATTGCTTCCCGTAGCTAGCATGAGTTCAATTTTTGCCTTGGCTTTTCTGGCCCTCTCTCTACCACTATTTGTCTCCATAGTATCTCACTCAGGCTGCTGCACTGAATTACACACTGTTGTTTTAGGAGACAGATATACTTATTTGTCATGCAAAAAATCTTCATGCACCAGCATGCTACAGAAATCAATCTGCCATGAGGTTCAAATATTAAACCTCTCCTTGGTCTGAGAGAGGGATTTCTGAGTAAAAAGGGGACAATGGGGTGTCTGCCAGATCTTTTATTTTTAGGATTACAGTAAAATTCTGAAAAGGAACACTGGGCATGAGGAGTGTTATAATTTGAAATCTGCAGAACTTTTTAATGTGTGTTCTAAAAAGCAACATTTTTAATTAAGTACCTTGAGTATCATAGTACAGCAATGATGCTTTAAGTAGGATGAGTTGGTTACAAGAGAGCTGGGTACTTGAGAACATGGAAGTGGGAATCTTGCATATCCAGTAGTCAGTGATTCACCAGGCCTCCCTGGCTGAGTCATTTACTGCCTCTGTCACAATTTCCTCATCGGTAAAACAGGGATGTTACTCACCAGGAGGTCACAGAGGATCAGCTAACTGTTATGAAGCACTTCTTCAGTTAAAAGGAGCTCTAGAAATGTGAAGATTATTTATTATATTTTATTAATATATTTATTATTATATTATAAGTTTTTACAAAGTATTTCTGTGCCTGAAGCAGCAGGCAGGATGGATGATAATGTTTGTCAGGAAGGCATGGTAGATTTGTACCTTTTATAGATGAACTAAATCAGATATATATGTAGCATAAGCAAGGGGTGTCAAACTCATCCAGCCTCTGGGCACAGGGGCAGTCTGTGGGATCAGATTGGGCCCACAGACTGGCTCCAAATGCTGGACCCAGCATGCAGGGCCTGTCTGATGAGCACTGAATGGAGTGCATACCCAGGGCTGGCCCTGTGTGCTTCTTACAGTGCACACACTGGCTCTAGCCTTGCATACCACATGCAGAATGTGCCAGCTCTGGCCTTTGGCCTGTGTGAAGTATGCAGTGTGTGGGGCTGGCCTGGGGCACATGCGGCATTCAGTGCACAGAGCTGATCTGGAGAGTGCAATGCCTGTGGTATCCATGCTGGATCAGCCTTGCCCTGACTGCTGGATCTGGTACACACAGCTAGTTTGTGGATCTGATGCACGTGGCCAGACCAGCCTGGATCCAAAATGCAAAGTTGCTTTGGCGTGGGCAACTCCTATGGCTCTCACATGCCCTGGACTGACCCCCTGTGCTGTGTGCAGCCTGCACCAGACAGGCCCCATGTGCCGTGTGCAGCATACATCAACCCCAGTCCTGTGTGGCACATGAGGCCAGTTATGAGTGTTCACTGCATGTGGTACCCATGCCAAGAGCAGCCCTAGATCTGGCACGTGCCGCTGGTCTGTGGGTCTGATCTAGATACAGGGCTGGTCTAGCACCAGTTCCACATGCAGTGTGCACCTTGGACTGGCTGTCTTTGTCTGGCAAACACTCTAGACTGCAGCATACATGCCAGCTCCAGCCCCTGCGCTGTGTGCAGCATATGCCAGACAAACTCCATGCACCACATGCAGTGAAAGGGGCCAGTTTGAGAGCCACGAGCAGCATATAGTCAGAGGACACAGCACAGAGAAATATTTACTCATTGAATCAGCCTCTACTCACTGGGATGATAAAAACTATACTGAAAATGTTGCCTCTGTGGGGCACCAGGAGACTTAAGAAAATCTGGAAACTGGAAATTTAGACAACTAGATAAAAAGCATTAAAAGCGACTTTAGGCTCTGCACCTGAAACTGATTATCTGTCAGCATAGCACAGTTACAAACTTATTTTTAGCAGCTTTTTGTTCTCTCTGAAAGAGCTGCATAAGGAAGAGGGGAAACTGATCCCACCAGAACAATAGTGATGCTGGCTATACAAAAGAAAAGTATCAAATGAGAAATGGAAATATTTGGAAACATGAGAGACTTTTATTTCCCCTTATCTTTCAGTAAGTGTCTGATATTAGTTGCAAAAAAAGAAATTTTCCAATAGAAGATTTACATTAATATTGTTCCTTTTCAAAGTATAAACCAGTGATGTTTGTTCAGTGAATATTGTACTGGAAATGCAAAAACCCTGAGCCAGATTGCTCCCCATTCACACAATCCTTCACTAAGTGCCCCTATTTCTGAATGGTTTTTAACAAACAGAAAGAAACTGTACCCTGCCTTTGATTTCTTTGCATGGAAAATGTTCAAACTTGTCTGAACAACCCCTGCACAGGCCTCTGGCCTGGCTTCTATGTGCTTTTCCTTTACCTCTGCTTGGTCTTCATACACTTTTTACCCCATTTTTATATCTGCCTCCATGGTTTCTTCCACGTTTCCCCCTGCAGTCCTGCTCTATCCTCCCAAAACTGTCTCATGAAGTATCATCTAAAACAATTGAAAAGGCCAAAAGCTGTCTGCCTGATATGAGTCACCATGTAAACTGGGTGTTCCTCTTCCTTCACCTATCTCCATGTGTTGTGATCTCTCTTCTCTGTCTTGTGGGTTGTTAAGATCCCAATCCTGCAGGTTTATGTGGGTATGCAGATGCAAGTCTGTGTCAAGCCCTGGTAACTTCAGCAAGGCATGTGGGGGTGAGGGTCTGCTCCTGTGGGCCATTTGTTGGATCAGGGGCTAAGGCACAAGTTCAGCTATAAGCATCTGAACTTTGTGGGCTTAAACATGTGCCCCAGACTTTGAAGGGCCAGAGCCTGCAACTGTAAACTTATTTGGATCTGTTTGTCATGTGTGATCAATGAAGCACATGCATTGCAAGTGTGGATGCTTGGGGATGATGAGAATCAATTCCCTCAGCTGGATCATGTAGTATGGGAAACTTGCCGCGTGATGCTATTTTTCTTTACATAATATTAATATTGTGGTAGTGCCTACTGGATTGGCCAGGGGCTGTGCAAATACTTGGGGAGGTGCAGTTGATGCTTGCAGACTACAGCCTCTGCCCTGCAAAGAAGTTTGCATATTTCTGCCAGGTAGAGTCCAGCTGACCCTGAAGGGCTTTCAGACCCATGTAGGGGTCTACCCTCCTGGTACTCATAGCAGTGACGCCTGAAGAAGTCAATTTTTGGGGGTAAATCTGATATCTTTTATTAGACCAACTCAAGTAGTTGGAAAAATTCTTCTTTGCAAGCTTCTGGGTATAAATACCCTTTGTCAGTTTGAGGAAGCATCTGCAGTTAGACCAACACAGCTACAGCCTATACCCCTGAAGAAAAGTGGCACGCAAAAGGTGGGAGAGGAGTCAAGGCACATACGGAGAAGCAGCGCAGTCAGACAGAGGGGCCCTGGACTGGAGGTCAGGGGCTTGGTAAGCAGCTGTTAAGAGACCAGTTACCAAATGTCATTGCTCTGCCGACTAGTAGCACTGATCCAGGCCAAGGGGCATCCATCTGCCTGTTCCCCTCATTCCAGCCTACTGGCAACTTGGAGCTGTAGTTTCTCTGGGCTCCTCCTACCTGGGGATTCAAGCTGGAAGATTTTCAGGCCAGTGCTGGCCTGCATACGAGATTTTGGCCCGTTTTTATCCTAGAATTTAGCTTGGGGCCTCTCCACCCAACTAACAAGGACTAGGGTGGTGGCAGGAGTATCACAGGGACCCAAGGGAGCTGCAGGGTTACCTAGGGCACTGATCCAGGGCTCCCTGCTGCCCCCGGAGTTGTGCTGCCTGCTCCTCTGGCTGACAGGCAGCGGGAGCGAGCAGCTCCATGCACCCGGGTAGCTGGGACTGCATCCGGGGGGTGGGAGGGGAGGCGGGGCGGAGGCAGAGCGGAGTCCCTCGGACTTCCACGCCAGGGCAGGGCGCTGTGGCCGCGCCGCTGGGAATCCCTCCCTCCCGCCGGCCGAGACAAGCCGCGGTACCGCCGGCCGAGATGTCGGCTCCCGGGCGTTCCCCGACCCTGCGGCCGCACAGGATGAAGAAGGACGAGTCCTTCCTGGGCAAGCTGGGCGGCACGCTGGCCAGAAAGAAGAAAGCCAAGGAGGGTGAGCACGAGCCCGGGGTGCCACCGCCTCCCGCCAGCCTGTCCCGGAGC